TGGTAAGGGTCCGGATCTCAACGGGGAGATCGTTCCAGAGGGCCGGAGCAGCCACAGAGAAGCCCTCCCCCGGTGAGTCATCAGCCGACATTGGCCGGCAGATGGAATTCGGAGGAGGCCTAGTCTGTGAGATCTAATAGGTCTTTGGGAGGTGACTGGCAGGAGGCGGTCTCTCAAGTAACCAGGTCAATCAATATACTGTATACTGTCAACTCTCTTGATGACCATTGCACCTATCTCCATTCTCAGAGCTGGTGCTAGAATGCTTGTAAAGACATTGATGTGTTTTTGTTATAATTGATCTGTTTGGGCTGTTACATTTTTAACAGTATTAATTGTATTTTTCATGTTGTAGACCACCCCAAGCTTCAATACATTTATTATGTTTGATAGTAGTACTAATGAAATATAATTGCCTCTGAGGTCAGAGAGAAAATATACCAAAATTGTTTTGATGAAGACTTTATAACTACAGATAGAAAACTAAGAAATTGTGACTGTGTTCCAAGTAAATTATATTGCTTCATAACTTGTTAATAATCCCTTCAATGATGAGAGAATTGTATTGTACACTAACCATAGATTAGCTTAGATTTTTGCAAAATCTCTATTACTTTGATTATTGTACAGCAATCCTTATGGCTTGCAGCTGTAATTTCTGAGTGTTCTTTTATAGAACAGTTGGGGTCAATTTGAGATGTTTCTTGTCTTGGCTTAATTTGTGAGAAGGAGAAATGTTAAAAAAGCTCTTGCTTCATAAAAAATAGGAAGGGTTTGTTTATTTATTAGATTAATATTTACCAAGGCCATCAAGAGTTTAGCATAATACTTTCCCACATAAAAAATATTATTTACGGTAAACTCAACTCATGATGCTTTTGGTGATTTCATGGGCTTAACAGTTTGAATAAACGACATATAGTATCACTAACACTGTAGGCACAGGTGTAATTGGAAACAAAGTAAAAAAACAAATCTGTGCATCAATAAATGTTTTGCCCTAGATGTTTTGAATTCAACCTTTCTTCTTTGCTGGACTCAAATGACTTTATTTTTAAGTTTGCACTTTATTTGTTAAAATATTTTAATATTCTCTGAGTCTTGAAATATTTTTAGAAGTCAGGCACTACTTATTTCTTAAGTTAGAATATGAGATACTGTCTAAGCTTAGAATTAACTTAGGAAGCCATTTAAAAGCTTTAAGACATAAATTAATTTTGAATCTAGTATCTAGGCCTAGATTTGTGACTTAATTAACTCAGGCCGACATATAAATTTAGCCATGTAAGTCCTGAAATATTAAAACTACTTAGGATAAGGATCAATAGCTTTTCACTTTAATTTCTATACCTTCTTACTTGTGCTTGATTTAACATTCATGATTTATTATTCACATGTATTTTATGTTATG